ATTCCCTGGTATGAACAGGACTGAAGGCTGGGTAGGTGGGATGGCTGCTTTTTCTCTTCTCTGAGTACCAGGTCATCCCAACAGTTTTTAGAGCACTTTCTGGTGTTTGGGTGGGTGATTCATCACCTTTCTTGATGTTCAAGTGTGAGCAGTGAGAGGCGGACCACGAAGGCATATATACAGCTCCACTGGTTCAAAAACCATTCATGTGACCCTTCAAAATTAGGGAACTGTTATAAAAATAATTTGAGGAATAAATCCCTTAATATTCTACATTATTTTCAGGGGACCTTTAGAGGTCATACATGCAAGCTCTCAGCCATGTGGTCTAGAACTACTTTCCTTTCAAATAAAAGGTGGGGTGAGTATGAATAATTGCCTGCATTACTGTGGCATCAAGCTGGTATCGGCTTGTGCTAAGCATGGGACAAACAGAAAGATGTTTCCTGCCCCAAAGCAATTCTCCCATAATCGTGTTAGAGACATGTGGGCTGTAGCACAATAAAGCACTGTAAGACCCGTGAGAAAGTTTTCCATCTCAAATCCTACTTGAGCTCTCCAGAAAACTATTAGCAGAACCTGACCCTGCTTTTTTTTATTTTTCCCAAAGGAAAAAGGCCACAGTTCCTTTCCTTTTACTACTGTAAAATTCCTCAATGGGTTGCTAAATTCCATAAGCAGTAAGGTGGCCTGAGATGTGAAGGGGTAAATCCCATCTTTCCCCTCTCCCTTGATCTCTGTCTCCTGTTCTCTAAGCTTTCTGTCTGCATTCCACTTCTTTTTCCTCACAAAGAAACCTAAAAATAAATAAATCTAAGAAAAAGCAGAAAAAGCAAAAGCCACCAGCCCCCAAACCAATGTGCTTAGCCATTCATGATGACCAAAAATAGTTTCCCAAATAAACAAATTACTGAGTCAACCAGATGAAAAAGTCATCTCCATAAATGATGGGTCTCATCCTCCCTCTCCTTGGGCAGGTCCTTGTCAGAATGGACTTTTGGTAAAGCCTTGAGCAGAGTTGCTTGGAGAAGAATCAGGCCCATATAGACAGCCCTGAGGGTCAGTGCCAAATATCCTACTACTCAAGGTGATGTGTAATGAAAAATTTTATCTTCTTTGCATCAGTGGAGACATTTAATAAAGAGTGAGTTATCCAATTGTCTTGTGCATGGAATTCTGCAGAGATGGTGCAGTAAACGGGGGGTGGTGGTGTAAACCTAAGGATTTGCTGGGCAAGATAATGTAGGGCTGAATGAAGGCTGCTCCCAGGGTGGTGCGTGCTCTGTCCCTGCTGGAAAAGTATGGGTGGGCAATTCTCGTTCTTGGCTTCTCCAGCTCTTGGCCAAGATCAAGGCTGTGATTGTTCCCACTGAGACGTAACATTCAGTACTTGTGGTACAATTGAAGGCTTAGGCACAATCTCCCTAGCAGAAACAGTGTCCTCGTATTCCTGTCAATAAACATTTGGCAGCAGATGACTTGTTCTCCCCTTGGGCTGTTGAGGAATGGTGGGCTGCATGATTGGTTTTCAAGACCCAGCCAGCCCTTTTGGGTTAAATGCATCTCTTTACCATAGAATAGCTGATTGGGGTATTTAGGTATCCTGGGGGAACAGACTCTCAGGACATGCCAGAAGAGAAATCAGCTAAGCTCTCTGTGTGCTTAGATCTGCGCTCAGAAGATGGGATGGGACTTGGCTGCATCCATCTTGCTTATGTAGATGATGCTTTTTTTCAAAGTAGGGATTAGCTCTTATCTTCCACCTGGCACATGGGGCCTTCATTCTGCATCAGTCTCCAGCTCTCGTACAGTGCTAGGACTGAAAATTACAGTCAGGCAAGAGGGATGGATTTTTCCTACATTGTGAAAAACCCCAAACACCACGCTATGTTCTTCATCACTGGGCTCTGTGAGGATAAACTTCACATCCTAGTGGATTTTAGGCCAGACTTAGAAATTAAAGTTCCACTTTGGCCACTACACAACCACTCTACATCCTAAATTGAGCAGGAGCTGGTTCTAACTGACTCAGAGGACCAGGGGACAGCCCAAGTACCCTGTTGGTGGAATAGTCTTGGCTATACTCAGCTAGGGAGGCTGTGGGCTAGGAGGGATGCTGGGCGTGCCTGCTGCCCCAGCAACACTGGGTCAAGCAGGAGACACTGTCATGCCACCCTGCAGAGGCTGGGTTATGTTTTAATCCATTTGAAAAAACAAATCCAACAGGCTCACAGCATGTTTCCTTAGCAGAGAAGGAGCCCTTCTGAAACATGCATGAGTCCACACAAGTGTGCAACCAGATGCACAGGGAAAACAGGTTGGGAAGACACAGTCATGGGCCACTGACAAAGAGCTCGGCATCTCAGGCTGCTTAAGGAAAGACAACTCACAGAGTTAAGGGAGAAAATACTGTATTTTCTTTACAATTTTCTATGAAGAGACAGTAATTTTGACTGCAAATTAATTAAAAAAACCCCAGTCACACGGTTAGAGTTTGGTTTAAAATTGCAAATAAAAGAACAAGGGGAGAAGACCCATTCAGGGAAGATTACAGTGAACTGGTCCTCCAGCCTATCCTAAAGCACATCACTCAGGGCCATGCTCTTTCCCCAGGCAGCAGTCTCCTGCCTGCTGGCAGGCATCAGCCTGGAGTCACTGCAGAGGGATGACACCGATGACATCAGGCATTGTACACCCAGCACAGCCACAGCCCAATGGCTTAGTCTGGGACTGTGCTGCATGTCCAACTTAAATCTGACACTGAATACATTCAAAACCCACCGCCAGCTCCATGTCAGGCTTCCCCCCAACATGAGGTCTGAGTAGCAGGTACCTGAGAGGCTGTCTCTGTCTTGCTGTGCTGAAGAAACCCTGCAGCTGGGAAACGATGCAGCAGGACTTGGAGGAGCTCTGGGCACTTAACTGGTGTGAAATGGGGGAACTCCGGAGAGGTGCTGAGTATCTGCTGATTTTGGAGTAGCTATTGATTTTTTTATTATTTTTTTTTGGTAACACAATAACTGTTCTCTAGCTGGTCTGCAACAGATATCCTTTGGTGTCCAGATGCAGGGTTGCAGGTGAAGATTACAAGCAGGCAGAAGGAAGCTTTGGGAGCAGCACTTGTCACATCTGGGGTTGCAGGGGACAATGCCTATGTCCCAAGTCCTGTCCCCACTGTCCATGCCACACGCCTCCAAGGCAAGGCATGGTTGTCATGCCAAACTCAGAAGCTGCAGCAGGTGGGGACGGGACCCGCAGGCTATGTACTCACTGTTCTCCCAGCACTCACCTCAGGACCTCTTCCCCACCTGCTTCCGATGCTCATGGTGAATTCAGTATTGGGGATGATGTATATGAATTTCATTTGGCAAAACCATCTACTCACTGCCCGATGACTTTTCTCAGAAAATTGCTTGGCCCCACTGGTACTGTTGGCAGGATTATCAGTGAATTTTGGGTAGCCAGGATTTTACTGTCTGTTTAGCCTGATCTGGGGTCATGGCCAGTGCTGATAAGGTCCTCTTGCCATTCTCAGCTTTGCCCCTCACCTGCTACCACTCCCTGACTTCAGGACCTGATCCAGCACACTGAGAAAGTGAAGAGAGCCTTTTACTCCCAGCACAGGGGCTGGGATTCTTGGCAGGCTTTCTTCTGCTTTCCAGTACTGCTTAAAACTCACTTTATCATCTTCCCAGCTCCACCAGTGTTTGCCTACAGGTGCCAGTCCAGTGAATCAAGTGGCTCCATATGCACAGATCTTGTGTTCCGTGAGGATCTGCGACCATAGCTAAATCAGCTACAACCTCTCCGAAGCAGGATTGTGCCTCACTCCATCTGCAACATAGAGTGGACATGAACAGAGCTCACCAGCATTAGTAAGGTGGAAAGCAGGTATGGAGGGTGTTAAAGGCAGTTGGATTTTGGGACAGGGCAGCAGGGAAAGCAAATGCAAGCCCAGCAGCTGCCATGGCACCCTCCTGCCCAGGAGGCTTGCTGGCTCTGCCAACTGTCTCTTTAGTTTTGGGCAGTTCAAAATGCTCTGAATCACATTTCCAAAAGGTCTTACGTGGCTGACAAACACAATGGATTTTATCAGTACAATTTCAGCTTGCAGATCACGGAGTTGCTTTAGGAAACATTATTCTCAACTCACTGGCTGTGGATGAGGCTGGGAAGATTTGCTGTTTGGGGAACCTGGGAGTTCACCGAACTCAAGAGAACTTGTGTCATGTGACTGCTCAGAAGAAGGCTGAACCTTAATGGCCCTGAATTCAAGTAACCTCTATGAAATCCTATCTTGACCCTGTTAATATTCATACTGCCCAAAGAGTCCCACTGGCTAGAGTCCCCCTAAAAACCCTTGTCTCATTAGGTCAGGCATCATGCCTCCCAGCTCTCTCACTAGTGCCATCACTAAACAGAACACACCACCAGACCCCTGAGGCTCTGAAACTCACCCCTTGGGTATGCTACCACAATCCCCCAGCACTCCAGCCCAGGACATGCTCTCCTAGGACCAAGCCAGCATGAACCCCTTGAGAAATGACCTACTGGTCACTGCCTCACCCTGCTGGGGAGGGGTCATGAAGACAGAGTCTCCCCTGCTGTCCACTCCTCCACTTCATGAGTAAAAAAGCAAGAAGCAACGTGCCAGACAGCCTCTCCCCCAGCACAGAAGCCCAAACACAAGAGCAGCAGCACAGCCTCTCTGCAGGAGCAGAGGTGCCAGGGGATGGCTCCAGCCAGCTGCCCCCTCAGGATGGACACCAGGGCTGGGAGATGCGAGAGGGCCTCATTCAGCTCTGAGAATCATTCTGAAAAACAACTACTGGAAGACCTAGCAGTAAAGCAAGGGACTAGTCCAGTTGGAGTTGTCAGCTAGAGACCTTCCAGCACCACTTACTCAACGGAGTGGAAAAAGTAGCTAGCAGGGCACTAATGACTGTTTTCATGTAATTTTAAATCTAGTTTCATTTTCTTTTTTTTTCCCTTTCCACTCACTGGGTTTCTAATATTGGTAACCTTTCTCTACAGCTCCCGTGTGTGTATAAGTGTTTGTGGGGCGGAGGCAGTGGGAGTCAGGTGTTCAGGCACTTTTGGCAAAGCCAACAGAGTTGTGATCACGGTCAAAGACGGTGTAGTAGGGACCAATGAAGACATCTCCCAGGATCCAGAGTGGGCCCCCAGGGGGTGGGATGTCCAGACCTGAAAAGCCACTCAGGCATATAGTCTCTCCTTGTGAAGAAACCTAGACAGAAGAGTGAGAGCTTCAATCTAAGCAGGTTACTTCATTCCCTTAACCTTGCAGGCTTGGCAAGAACACCTGCAAGGACGGCTTTGCTTCAGCCTCTCCCAGTCTGAGATCCACAGATTGCAAAAGGAACTCCCAGCCCACCACTCCTACAGTTCCAAACCCAGCTCCCCCTCCCATAAGCACTAAAGTATCAAGTAAAGCTGCACATGACCATAAGCCTCCCAGCTCACACAGCTCCAAATGAGAGCTGTTGGTGAAAGTCTGCAAAAGGTGATCCTTGCAAGTTGATTCTGATGGCTAAATGACAGGCTGATGGCCTCTGCTATGGTAACTCTGGTCTCATCCATCAGAATCCAGCAGGAAAGAGCTAAATGTTTGTAGAAAGCAATACAACAGCCTGCTTCCTCTTCACCTCCCATCCTGCAGGGGATCTCATCCACGTGAGACTTTGGTGAGGTTGCCTGGGTCCACCAGCAGTGCCACCACCCCGACACCCCAACCTTTCAGACTTTTTCCCAAGCACCAGCTCCAGCACTGCTTTGGCTGCTCCTGAGTTTTGGATTTCATGGCAAAAGTCAGGCCTTGGGGGAGAAACATAAGGCTGGCAAATGCTGCCTGGATTTACCTTGAGGACATAGTCGGTTCCTGTGAGGTTGTAGGGCTTCCCTCCTAGCATCATTGTGATGACAGGCAGGTCTGGCACTTTATCACAGGGGATCACATACTAAAATGGAAACAGTAAAGGCTTCAGACAGGAGCTCCCACACTCTCGGGAAAGGGTACAGTCTTCCTTGGGCACAGTCACATCTTTGCCATGGTATTCCCCAAAGCCAGCTCATCTCAGGGTGCAGAAGCTTGAGCTGGGCTAAGTAGGCTGCTCCCTGCCTAGGGCTGCAAGCTGAGGGTCTAGAGGGCTTTACAGATAGGAATGGAGCCAAAGGATGATGGATTCAGCTTTTGCCTCTGCTGAGTCCCACAGCGCAACAGCCGATGTGGCATGGTTGGGGGTCTTCACCACAGGAGAGACAGCTGTGCCTCAATACAGCCTACAGACATGCACAGGGATTCATGGTGTAATGAACAGACAAAGCTAGTTTCATAAGCACTGCCAAGTCTTGGGGATGATGGCAAGTCTATGCCAGCTGTTGCTGCAGGATGGGGTCTGACACTGCAGAAATGCCCTACCAGTGCTCACGGCTCTGTGATTTGGGAGGGGTTTCAGAGAAGGGCATTTTTTTCTACAGGGTCTTTATAATCCATGTTCCTCCACAATTTCAGAGAGGAGAAATGACCTTGTGAGATTAGCTTTGATGGTCAAACACTTGGCAGCAAAGGGTCATCATTTGCATTAAATATACTAGTATTAAAGTGCTTCTGGATTCACATTAATGTGAATCCTTGGCCTCAGCTACTACTCAGACCCCTTCTCTTCCACCTCCCAGAGATGGGGAGCAGAGGTGACCCAAAGTGTCCCAAAGTTCATGGGACCAGGCCTTCTACTGTGAGTATAAGCAGGGTGGTGAATGCTACCTGGAGTAAAAAAATGGAGGGGTCCCTGCTATGGGAGGGGTTTTTTCTAGGAACACAGGCTGGGAACAGAGAGCAGAGGGAGCAGAAACTAGGGTCTAAAGAAGCAGATGCAGACTACAAAGTAGGGTGTCAGTGCAGACACCATGATCGCCATAGACTTCCACATTCCCAGCCCGGCCTCACCTCGCCTTTCATGAGTGGTTTTGCACCGATGGCCTTCTGTAGCTTCTTCACCTCTTCGCTGGGGCCAGTGATGAGTGAAGTTCCTGTGTCCACAATGGCTTCACAGCCCCCTTGGCAGAGAGTTGTCCCATCGGCAACTTGCACCCTGGGGAGAGATGCCCAGACAGAAGACAACCCTTAGAGGCCTCCCAGTGAAGGCTGCAGGAAGTAGCAGGCAAAGAGTTGATGGCTAAGTAATCATACATAGGTACATAGGCACGCAAGGGAGTGCTGTGACAGACACCTAGGAAGGACAGATGCTCAGAAATACTGATGCAGCACCACTTCAGTGCACAGATCTCCTAGCTCCCCCTCATCTGCTCGTGATTAAGTAGGTGCCTTGAGGTGTTACTGCATTTCTGCAGACAGCCTGGACCGCTGCCTGTGTACCCTGCTGCTGCCTGCACTCCAGAGTCAGCACCACACAGAACAACAAGGGAGCGAGCTAAGGGCAATGCATTATGCGCTTGTATGGCCTGTGCCACTGCAAAAACAAAGGGTTAACAGGGTGGTGTGACAGCCGTGGGCAAGAGAAAGGTTCCTGTACATACAAGAGGCAAGACAGGAGCTGCTTGGCTTCTTCACCTGCATCGCATTTCACAGCAGTGCGGACAGACAAAGCCTTCTGGCCAAGGGTCTGCCACACTTTGCCAACGTGGCAGGGCTGGGGGAAAATGAGAACTAAAACCCTGCACTAGGGAGGAATGCGATTCCCAGGAAAAGGACACATGCTGCACACAGGCCACTTTTAAGTTCCTATCACGTGAGAGAGCTCAGAATAGACCACGGGGCCGGCGGATGGCAGCTCAGCCTGCTCTCCTCCCTTCTGCCTCCAACAATGCGTGCTGATTGCTGCGCCGTGCCCTTCAGTCAAGGGCTGGCTTCCTGAGGCCTCATCCTGCTCCTCTGGAGCTGTGTGCAAGTGAGCCACGCAGCTCAGGCCTTGCTCAGGAGCTGAGCTAAGATGGGGTTTAATCCACGGGGCTCGCCCTGCCTGCAAGGAGGACACACTGGCATTTCTCCCCGCTTTGCAAGGGTGCAGTAGGCATTTTCAAGGGTCAAGCAGTAAACAAGAGGAAAGGATTTTGCAGGACATCTTAATTCTTCTGCCTCCCCTCCCCTTCCAGCAACAAATGACCCAACCTTAGGGTGTGATTTTAATCTGCTTTTGTGGTGTGGATGTGTTGCAGGGATAGAGAGGATTCCTTTTCAGGGAGGGTCTCAGCCCAGCCCCAGACATGTGCTGGCTGCATGCGTGACCCCACGAATGTGGTGGGGTGGAGTGGGGAGCTTACGATTCCATGTGGATCTGCCAGTAGGCCTTGCGTGTGACATTGACCCAGGCAAAGTCGCCGGTGTAATACTTGGGGTCAGTCCCTCCCAGGAGCAGCTCACCACCGGGCACAGCTGTGGGGTCTCTGAAAAACAACATCCATACCTATAAACATCAGGGCAAGAACAGTCTCCTTCATGTGCCCCCAAAATACATGCTGGGTTCTGAAAAACAACATCCAAACCTATAAACATCAGGGCAAGAACAATCTCTTTCATGTGCCCCCAAAATACATGCTGGGGTGTTTGGGGATGACGCACGGCATTAGTAGCATTGGAGACAGACAACTTATGTTACATCAATATAAGGACAGTTACTGTGAGATAGGCTGGGGTGAGGAAATGGGAGCATTTTGGCCCTGCTAAAGCATCCTGCAGCTTTTCACCTGTATTTTCCCACAGACACCTGAAGAAACTCGCTGCAAAAAAGGGGGATGGCAAATGGAAACTGAGTACTGACACAAGGAACTCCTCAATAATTAGCTCGTTAAAAGCAGCCATGCAGGGCTGGACATGGCTGATGCAGGGTTAGGTTATCTGCACTGGACTCTGCGCCAACCAGAAGCCTCGGAGTGAATCCTCAATGTTACCATCAGATAAAAGATGACTGTCGAGCAGATGGGAAGAAATATGGTGAAGGGGGAGGGCTGCTGCTTGAACGGCCATCAGCAGCCCTCTCTGCCCTTCCCACTCCCAGCATGCTACTTCTTGGGCTGAAGTAGTTCAGAGTCCCTGCTGCAGTGCCAGGAAGGTGATGGGGTGTCCTGGGGGGAGCAGCAGTGGGTGGGAAGGTGCTGGGAGCTGCAGAGGAGGATTTCCCAGGGGGGTGAGAGAGGAGTCCGTGATGACTCGTGAGGGGCACGCTTGCCTGGGAGGTGACAGGGTGGTGACTACATGGCTTATGGATTTTGGCAGCAGATTGAGGCTGTGTTTACCCCTCTAAAGGGGGCTGCACTAGCAGATTGCAAACTCATGATCACAGCCCTGGTTTATTTTTATTTCTCTTTCCTCTGGAAACATCCTCTGTCTCTTCATCAGTTAAAAAATCTGGTGCCAGATCTACTCAGCTTTTTATCAGTAAAATAGCTGCATTTCTACTTCCCTTCTTCTTACTTAAAAGCAGAAAACAGAAAAGATTTTGGCCTGACGGCTCCTGCAAGCAGACCTTGCTGAGACTTCCGCAACAGTGCTGGCCAGATGACAAGAGGTGCTATTGGGAGACAGAGAAAAGCCTGCTGGGCTTGCCTTCGCAAAAAGAGGTGTGCCACCAAACCCAACACTACCTGTTCAGGTAGAAAGCGAAGATATTTCTCTCAATCAGCTTCTGTTGCATGATGTTATCAAAAAAAGGCATGACCTGTTGCACGGAGATCTTTGGGAATGCCATGCCCAGGATGCCGTCGAACTTGGCAGCAATGAATGTCATGCCTGGCTGCTTCACGGCCTCCCCGAAGACCTGATTCTTGATTTTCATGTCACCGAGCTGTGGGAAGATGAGGAGGGAAGGGAAAAGCAGACTGTAAAGAAAACTGACTTGATGAGGGTGGTAACAGAATCTCACTCAACACAGGCTGTAGCACATCCCTCAGTATGCTACCATACTCCTACCTGCTTTCATCAGTGCATTTGTAGGCAGCTGCAGAAACTTGGTGCCACTCTCGTTAGAGAGAAAGACAGACAACTCTGCTTGCACGGTGGCAGCTCCAGAGTCCCTGCAAAGCCCAGCTCACCTCTAAAGGCAGGAGTCCTGGCACTGGCCATGCCATTCTGCAGCTCATCCTCTTTGCACAGAGGGCTGCATATCACTTTGTCCCTCCTGCATCCCTTCCCCTATCACCTACTTCTTCCTTTCCTCCCAGTCTGAAAAGCTCTTGTGCTACGCCTTTAATTCTCTTCCCCACTTGGGACATCTAAGTCATCTCTGCATCCTACCTCCTTGGGTGCTGTACCCATCCCCAGCTGGGAGCACAAATCCCTCTCACCTCTGCCCACAGCCCCTGTGATCTCCGCTACACAAGAAACATCCCCAGGATACTGCTGCATCTCTCGGAAGAACTACCAGCCTGCCGAGACCTCCCGTGGGAGGGGAGAAGACCCAGCCAAGAAAGCGAGGTTGAGCCCTAAGCACAAAAATAGCAAGTGCAGTACTGAGAATTCAAAGGTCACCTCTCTTGCCAGCCATGAGAAGGACTGGCATTTCCCCACTGGAAAGCTGAACTGCCTTGCAAGGGCAGATACCCAGAAAGAAGATCACAGAAAGCAGGATAGCTCTTCTGATGGGGAGCAGGATGCATCTGCTGGCTTCTGGCCCTAGCAGTTCAGGAGGTTTGTCAGCTTCTGGCTGACCACAAGCAATTTTAGCATCCATGCTAGGACAATTTCAGCCTCTCAGCCTGTAGCTAGCAGCCCTGTAGTGAACCAGGCTGGACTGACAAGCTGGCCTCTCCTACCTGATGGCAGATAACGATTGCTGTAAATTACTAATATCCCCCCAGGGTTAGACAGTGCAAGGCTGGGATGGTGGTGCTGGCTTTAATGGTATCAGAGGATCACACCAGGAATGGGCGATCGAGCCCTGCAAAAGCTGAAAGCCACAGGGCAGGATGTGGGGTGAAAGAGTGCAAAGCAATGCATCCGCTCGCTGGCACGTGGCAAACACCCCAGTTGTATGCTGCCGGTTTACAAAACCTGCCGCTCGGCACAGCTGGTCCTGCAGCAGCTCAGGAAGTTCGATAAAGCTTCCACTTAAAACACAGGTAAAATGCAATGGACTTACACTGCCGAGCACCAGGTTTGTTTGAATATTGCCCTGCTTGCACAGCCCAAGGGGAAGGCAGATGTCTGCGGCTGTGGGGTCTCAGCAGACCCCACCTGCACTTGGTCCTCAGCAGGATGAAGCCCAAGACCATCTTTGCAGAGCACTGCTGCCAGATGACAGGCCCTTCATCTCTGTCCCTCGGCTGGCTCTTGCCCAAACGTGGAGAGACCAAAAATCAGGACCAGTGGATGGCTGTGTGGTGGCTGCCCTCCAGTGCTTTGCAGACAGGTGTCAGCACCCCACAGCTCGCCCAGCCTCCTTCTTAGTGGCCTCAGCCAGCAGGCAAGTGCTGATGGCAAAGGCAGACTAGGAGGTGAGTGCCTCTGTGACACAGCTTGTCACCAGGGCTCAGGGCTCCCCTATGTGGAGGCACAGGGAAGAGGCAAGGAGGGGCATCTCCTGTGTGGTGAATCTGCTCTGCACTCACTGGAGAAACCTCATGCCCCATAGCCAGCAAAGTTTCCTCTGCTGTTCTTGAAGGATATCCCAAGGTCAGGCTGTGATAAAGGGGTAAGATGCCTGAGTAGCAGAGAGTTGGCTGAACCTGTTGCTCTTCAGGGAGCAAACAGCACTGGGGAGTGTGGTGCTACAAGGCATCACTCCTCCACAGAAGCAGAGAGGATATTCAACATAAGCTCATCACCCTCTCAAGAAAAAGATTCAGGGCTGAGGGACTCTGGACTATCCGCCAACCAGAGCCTTTTGGTCAGATGTCAGTGCTACCAGAGGTTGCTGCAGCTGCGTCCACTCATCAGAATGCCTAGAGCCAAGAGGGTCACCCTGAAGGCTATTTCAACATCTGTATTTCCAGACTACAACTGACTTGGAGTTTGCCTTACAGCATGTTGCCCATCAAAAGAAGCATCTTGATGTCCAACCTGAAGGACCCTCACCCTCTGAGTCACCCCTGCTCCTGTATACTACAAGTGTGACACTGCTTAGCTCCATGCAAGAGGTTCCTCCTGCTTCTGTGCAGACAGAAACCAAATGCTACAAGCTGTACTGTCTGCCAAGAGCTATCTCTACTTCCCAAACACACTTGGGCACAAAATCCTTCCTCCGAGCTGCCAGAAAGTGGAACACTAATTAGCAAGTAGGCATTAGGGTGACAACTAAAAACCCAAAAAAGAGGAAAAAGCTGCAATTTTCCTTCTGACTCACTCAGCCCCTACATTAACCTGGAAAGTGCCTAATCCAGCCCACACTTTCTAAGGACAATAAAGTTTGCCTTGCTGCATCTTTGGATGCAGTGTAAAGGCAATCGCTGGTGCTTCCAGGCTAACCTGAAATTCTCACACTGTAAGGATGGGCTAAAGAGTGCACCTTGCATGAGTCACACACTTTAGGCTCATCTTGGATATTTTTTTTGGTTCTGATGAAATTGGTACACCAGTACCTTTCAGCTGAACCTGAACGGACACACCCAAATCCCCAGATTTATGTGCTTATTCAAAACTTTTTATTTGTCTCTCCCCCCTGCAAAGCAAACATATGCTCTTATCCCTGCCAGGAGACCGAGTAATCTGAGAGCACATGCACTGCTGACATTCAGCAGCTGGCAAACTCCCCACCAGCATTTGTACCTGGGAGGAAATCATGAAAGGCACTCACCCTTCACAGAACAGAAAGCTCAGCCTTTGCTCACTGAAAAGGAAACCCTGGGAAGCAACAACCAACAACCTGGCTAACTCAAGCTGGGCCCTGAACACTGCTGGGAAACCTCCCTCCAGTGTCTTACCCAGCCTTTGCAAACATAAGCACCAGTTCTCAACCCGAGACCAAGAAGGGGCAGTAAAGATGCCATTTCTGGCTTGTGTCTGGGCAGCTGCCCGTGTGGACATCCACTAAAGTGCAGATATTGGCTAGGAACAAGGTGGGCACCACCACTAGCCTGCAGTAGTGCCGGCATGTGCTTGGGCTAGGAAGTTTCTGGGGGCTTCTGGAAGAGGGTTGTAGGGATGGCCAGAGACCATGTTTGCAAGGCATCACTTGTGCAGTCCCTGCTCCCAGCCTGCTGACCTGCAGGTTAATACCTTCTCCCTTCTCTGCCTGCCTTGGTCATTGTCACCTCTGCAGTCATCACCACCATGTTGTTTCAAAGCACTTGGAAACACAACACTGAAGCATGCTCTACAGGACTAGGAGACTCAAGAAGGAAAACCCATTGAATTCAAACAGTTTTGAGCACTCTACCAAAAGCAGTCTAGGGCAGCTCAGGGCAAGGGCAGTTGTAACTCACCGTGACTGTGTCCTGGCTGAGGTACCCAGACAGGCTCCCTGTCCCATAGCGGATAGCAAACTTGGTGCCGTTCTTCACGAAGGTGCTGGATTTAGAGGAGTCGTACTTGTGGTGCACCACTGCAGCCACGAAGGGGACACAAGGGGACACACAGCATTAGTGTTCCTTGATACCTATGGTTCCCCAATACCTAACCCCACACCACCTCGCTTATCTGGACAAATGGGCATTCGGTGCTCCTTGATACCTATGGTTCCCCAATACTTAACCCCACACCACCTGGCTTATCTGGACAAATGGGCATTCGGTGATGTGAAGCTGGGTCTGAACCCAGCAATTGCCAAGCCCAGAATGCTTAACAAAGCATTTCCAATGTCTGGGGAATTAGGTGGGCAGATCCAATTCAGGCTGTTAATCGGATTTGGCCACTGGGTATTAAAAGCCTAGAGGTTATGTGGCTGGTGTGTCAGGGTGTGTTAGTCTGCAGAGTGAAACATGTCTCCCCCACGCCATGGAGAACCAAGCTGGCTTTAAATAAGGCCTGCTCTGGGCATGAATGTTTTCACCTCGAGAACCTACTGATTTCTTTTACTAAGACTAGCTGGAATTTTTTTTGTACATTGTTTTTAGTATAGAGTGGGCTCAAAATATTATTTGCAGAGGAGGAGGGCTTTCCCCTAAACTGCTTTTCCCCTTTGATTGCTTGGGAGCTGTAAGAGATCCCTAGTTTTATGGCTGGACAGATTCCTCCTGCACAGACTCCTCCCAAGTCACGAGTTGGCAGTGGCATGTGGTGAGCTTGGCCAGCGCAGCTCCATGGCTGCTCACTGAGCATTGCAAAGACTGAAGACTAATCAGCCGAGCCCTACAGAAACTGACATGCTATACGGGCACTTCCCTGATTAGGGTGTCTGGGTCCCAGTTTGGATCCCAGTCTGGCAGAAGGTTAATTTCCTTGTATACTTGTAAAATAAGCCCTTTGATCTCAGCACCTCCTGAGCTACTGCCTTGAGAAACCAGCTCCCTGCTGCAAATCAAGAATCCACCAACACAGACCACATCTGGACCTCACCACCCTACCAGTGTCCTACACCTCATTTTGCATATGCAAAAAGGTCTGTCTTCTCTCTGGGCACTACAGGGCCATACAAGAAGTCCAAATTTCCACCCTTCTTCCAACAAGAACTGTGGGACGCCTTTCATGGTTGCATTTGTTGACTCCACAGGTTTCTCCAGCCACAGCCAGTGGCTTTTAAATGGTATTTTGCCACAGCCAGGTTTGACATCTTCAGCTGTGGAAATTTATGGCATAGGAATGCCACAGAGCAAAAAAACTTGCAGTCCCTAATATGTGCTCATCTCATTGTGCCTAGCTGGCTCTCATTATAAATCCATAAACATGCACACACATGCTCTGTGCAGCAGTAAACCAGAAACTAGGACAGTTTGTATCAGATCTGGCAAGAGGTTGACTTAAAAAAAGTCGGCCTTGCGCAAGGGGGTAACAGCAGCATTAGTCTATAATCTGGGGAGAAACATCACAACCTATGCTGCTGCTCCCCTGCTGCAGGGCCAAGGCTGTTGAAGATTTGGCCCTGTGCGTGGGTGACTTGGAAGGGATTAAAAATCAGGAAGGATGGATGCAGGAGGTTGGTATCACATGTCCAGCTCTGACCCTAAGGAGCCCATCAGCCTCTGGCAAGCTTTTTCGTGCTGCTGCCTCAGTTTCTCCTTCTGTAATGCAAGGATCTGCATTTTGCAGGGAAGGAGAAGCCGTTGAGTAGTGGCTGGCACCTGTGACACTTACTGCAGGCGATGTCCATTATGGAACAGTGCACAGATGGCACCCAGAGGTTGGAGGAGCCAGTGTCAAAGATCACAGTGAACTTCTGTGGGGGGGTCCCGATGCCAATCTCGCCATAATACTGAGCCTGCAAAGGAGAAGGGAGCCATGAGTAGAGGCAGTAACCTAAACACAAGGATTAAAGACCAACAATCTCTTAGGGTTGAATAGGGGACCCTGTGAGTAGAGGCAGTCACCTAAATACAAGGACTAAAGACCAGCAATCTCTTAGGGTTGAATAGGGGACCAGCTTCTTATCTAGACACTGCACTCCACTCTTTTTTGGCACTGATGGGCTCTCAGCCTTTGTTCTCTGGAAGGGAGGCTCCCCTTCAGTGTTCACAACTCATTACAGTGGGTGTGAAAAGGATAAATTAGGGACGAGTGGGATGGGTGCTTACAGGGGAGGACATTTGGGGCAGAGAGACACGGAAGAAGAGAATGAGGAAGGTCTGCAAACTAGCACGCAGTTTGCAGAAGGAAGAGAAGAAAGATGGAAGGAAGCCAATCAAAACACCTGCGTTATTGAAAAGCTGAAATTGGCTGGGTGGGTTCACAGAGGAACTGGAGGTTGCAGGAAGCAGCAACTCTGCCCATCATGAGTGGAGGTACAGCTGCTGGGGCTTTTGGTGTGTGCTGGTGATTCCCTGGCACGGGGAGGAATAAACAAATTCTAAGTCACTGGAGCTTGAAGACTGGAGGAGTGTTGGGAGCAAAGGGCATCAGCAGCACCATCAGAGGTGGATCTAGGGCTGCAGAGTGAAAGTTTGCAAGAAATCTCTGTAGCACAGGTATCTGACGGATACCTCTCTGCCCTGTGACTGCATGTCTGCTGGAGCTGGAAGA